AAATGCAATGTAAGAGAGACAGTCTTGCTCTCTGAAGCCATTGTTGCCACTACTCTTCCCATTTGCTCTTGCTTTTTGCTGTTTTCCACCACCAGGAACTGCTGCCCTCTTCCATGTGCCACTCTGCCTTGAAGCCAGCTGAGTATGAACTGAAACCTCCACTAACTGTGAGCTACTAAACCTTTACTTCCTTAACTTTGGGTGTCAGATATTTTGACCCAGAAACAAGAGAAAAGTAAGTGAGACGCCACCAATATTTCTGGCAGTTGGTAAAATACATTGTTCAGATAGGCATGATAGATTTGTCATGGAGGATTCTATTGTCTCAAATCAGCAGTATTTGGGTTCTCAAAGGTAAATAATATTTTATTTAGAGGATATTATCAAATAGAGAATGTCATATAATTTTATTTTAAAATATTTCTCTCTCCCTCTCCTCCCTTTCTCTCCTCTCCCTCCCCTTGACCCTCCCCCCTCCATCTCATTTCACCTACACTGTAGGATTAATGAATTATTACCTACTCCTTTAGTAGAGTGAGTTTTTGGAAAGAACATTGATGTAGAAAAAACTGGGATGTAGATCTAAACTGTGCCTCTAGACTTTTCAAATGATCTTGAGTTGACATAGTTATTCTTTCTAAATATCAGTATCTGCATCTAAAAAATAGCTGTGCATAAGATAGATTTTGAGTCCCCATGAGAATTATTCTATGGATACAATGAGAAAATGTCTCTGGACTAACTTTATAGAAGTACAGAATGGTTTCATCTCATGAGAGGGTTAGGTCTAAAATCTATAGATGAAGCAAAAGTTAGTTGAATGAAACGGGGAATCTTTGACCCTAGGACTCATGGTAGGATTATTAAATTTTTCAAATAAAAACATGAAGAAAGCATTGATTGTTTATCAGCAATTCAAATGTAATAGGATATTTTAATTCATTTGAGGTGCTATACTACAATACTGCAAAGTGGGTGGTTCTCGACAAACTAAATTATTTTTCTTATCCCTGAAGCCTGGAGAACCTCATTGTCACCTGAAGGCTGACTTCTAGTGTAACTTCATAAAGTGGAAAGGTGGCAAAACAGTTTCCCAGGGCCTCTTTTATAATCATAAGAGTCTTATTCATGAGTTCAGAGCCCTGGTAATCTAAGTCCTGTCCAAAAGCAAGCACTAATACCCACACACAGGTAAACAGATTCTCAATGTCTCAGTAACACAAACATCCCCTACAATGTACACCCCCAAAGGCAGAGTCTGAAGCCCTGCTCCAATACAGTGCTAGACAGCTTGGATGTTATCTGGCAGCCCTATTCCTGGCCACAACACACTCCAGGAGAAAGGTAGTTTGGCAATCTCTCAGACAATCCAAGCTAGTCTGCTACTTCCCTGGTCTCAGAACAGATTTATGGTTCATTTTGCAGAGCAAAGTATAGAAATTTTCTTACAAACCAGACTGTGTGAAACAAGTACCCCTCCGCACCCCAGACTAATGCACCAAGAGGTGAGGGTTTACACAGAGTGGCTTATATGATCTGGGAGGGAAAGAAACAAGTTTATTTCTCTTGTCTCCTGCTCATTTAGTGAATGGAAAAGTAAAATGTGCTGCAGATTTTGTTTCTACTTTGTTTTGGCAAACTGGAATAATGCAATATAGGTTAACATGCAACATAAAGATTACATTGTCATTAAATAGCAATCAGAAATGATCAGAAATATTCCTGTGGTGGCTACTAATCGAAAGTCCTCATGTAGCCTCTGAATGGAAACAAAAACTTGACTTGCAAACTTAAGACATATGTTCAAGGCCTTGATCTTTCTTCAAAGTCAGTCCACCTCCAGGGATACCACAGTTTTCACTCCACAAAATCACAATTACTGTTGAGGGCCTTGCAGATCTGTACCCTGCAGAAGTTTGAAAATGAGAAGAATGCCCCAGTGTGAGAATGTAGCTCTTCATGCAACCACGTTACCAAAAATCAGAGAGATTAGGGGGAAAATTTAAAATGAGATTTTATTACCAATGATGAGCTATCAAAAATGAACCCTTACAACAGAATTTTAATGGCTGTACCATGGAGATAGCAGGGTGTCTCCCTTCAGGAACCAGACAATAAATGATCAGGTTCTTAGCCACAAATAAGTAGAAGGAAATATTTAATGTGCTTATTGTAATGGAAAATTAGAATAAATGTAAAGCTTACCACATGGTGGTTTTGTGTGTACGCATTATGAAATGGCTAGATCCAGCTCTGAAAGGTGTTCATTTGTGTAACCTATTTAAAATAAAATGCTTTCAAACCACCTTCCTGCGACTAAAGACTATCCACACCACAACAGGAGGCTATTAAAATTAAAAACGGCATGGCTATGTAAGGACATAAACCCTAATTTGTTACATTTTTAAAAATCTCATCTCTTTTATTTACAATCCAAAATACTCATCATTCATTTTATAAAACTGACTTGTGCAACTCTTTTAAATAGTTAATGTGTATCTTATGTCATATCTTTGTTTTATTTGATTCTATTTACTTTAACACATTCGGTCTATTATCAAAATATTCACACCAGCTGTAGTGGTTCCCACAAGGAGTTATTCCCAGCAACTGAGCATGTGCCGTGATCTGCTTGCTTACATTTTTGTTCTGAGGTTACCATCCTGAGATATCTTTGCCCTGGAGTAATATAAGAAGAATTTGGAGCTATGCTCTGTTTTGTGGATGAGGGGATTTTACTTCTCATTGTGGATATATATACTAGTTATTGAAAGTTTTTCAGAAAATAAATATACAAAGTGAATCCTCAAACATCCTTAAGAGGAATAGTTTCTACAGTCAGCTCAGGGAGGGTGCATGTAAGGACAATGATAATTAAAGTATGTATTTTTGGCAAAAAAAATATATCTAAGCTACTTAAAGCATACCAGCCACAGGTATTGGCAATGGGGATTAATTTGCTGGGTTTAGGAAGAAAGACCCATGCCAGTACATCTGCTACAAATATGTTTCCCCTGTGCTGCTGTCAGGGCTGGAAAAGGATGTGGAGAAGAAAAAAAGCAAAGCAGGATAGTGCTTATGCAAACTTCCCCCAGAGTTAACTGTTTAACTACCCAAGAACACAGGATTCCCAAGGTACTGATGTTAGTTGCTGCTGTACCTGCTTTTGCCTTGATAAAACCTCTGACTCTGTCTCTGTGTCTCTGTGTCTGTGTCTGTGTCTGTGTCTGTGTCTCTGTTTGTCTCTCTGTCTCTCTCTCTGTCCCTGTCTGTCTCTGTCCCTGCTGTGTGTGTGTGTCTGTCTGTCTGTCTGTCTCTCTCTCTGTGTGTCTGTCTGTCTCTCTCTGTCTCTCTCTCTGTCTCTCTCTCTCTCTGTCTCTCTCTCTCTCTCCCTCCCTCCCTCCCCCCACTTCTACCACTCTCCTTCTCCTCCTCTCTCCCTCCCTGAACTGCCCTTCCATCCCTCCCCTCTATGTACCTAAGGACAGTTGGTAAGCTCATACTTGAACTTGAGATCTTATGACCATGCCGCTTTGGATTCACCTTTTATTCTCTGCCTCTCTTACATCTGTTAAACAGAAAACAAAAACACGTTAGGCCATTTCTTGTCTATCATCACTAACATTCTCAAAAGAAAACGTTAAAGTTAGCCTGACATCATGAGCTGTTTACTGAAATGTTTTAGACTAGCTGCCAGCAAGGTTACTGTAATCTGTTTTATTTCTCTCCTTACAAAAGCAAGTTCAGTCTCTTGATTTGTTCCTTTCCCACTCAGGTAGGAAGTGATGCAGAGGGAGCTGAGCTCTTTCATAACTTCTGGTTGTTTCCTGTTGATTTTTTATTGAAAGATTTGTACTAAAGAGTACATTTACAACTGTTATTTTTATTAATACTTAGTTGCAATACATAATGCTTACATTCCTTTTCGATCTGGTACATGGACATAACACATCTGAACTCCTTTTTTTACTCCCTCTGCCTGCCTCCTTTTCTCCACCTTGCTCCATCTCTTAATTCCCTTCCAATTTGAGAAAGATACACCTTCCTGTGCCCTATAATCTATCTCTTATTTCTTTCTTTGTTTATAATTTGAGTTTCTCATATAAAAGAAATTCATCTCTGACTGTAACCCACTGTGCTCTCTAAATCAATCAAAAGTGAAGCTTAGAGGCTGGCCTGCTGCCCACCAAAGGAAAGCTGGGGTCATAGGAGGTGCTCAGACTTTCCCTGTGCCCTGGTAACACCTGACACCAACTACCCACATCCTAGGCAAAATCTCCAGCCAAGAATCCACTAAAATGTTCATTTTAAGCTAAAACGTCTTCAAAGATTATTATATCATAAATTATTTGTAAATTGATATAATAGCAGACTTCAACCATTTATATATGGCAGATATATATTTCTCACAGTTGTAGGGGCTGGGAAATTCAAGGTCAAGTTGCTAACAAAGTTAGTGTCTAATAAAGACCCAGGTTTTACTTTGATGGTGTCTTCTTGCTGTGGCCTTGCATGGTCTAAATTTTATTTCAGTGGGCATATGCTAAAACATTGTGTTCATCCCCATTCTCTATCAATTACTCTCAATGGGTTACATCCAGTTCTAATCATAGTTGAGATTGCTGTTATCATTTTCATCCTTAAATTCACGTGATACCAACATTAACACTACTTTGTATCACAAACACTAGTGGCTGAACATTATTCTGAATTTCCCTTATGTCCTTGCATATTTTCATTGGTTTTAAGTATGTGCTTTAAACTTCCTGTTTGTTCAACTATGTGTATTTTTTTTTTTTTTTTTTTTTGGCTTTTTTTTACAAGTCTTTAATAAAAAAAACTCAACAAAAATATATAATCAGGCATTTTACATAATGCATACATTCTTAATATCTGCAGGTAAGATAAATAACAGAAGGCAAAAAAGCAAGTATACTGTATTGCTTCTCTTTGGCGAGGTATCAGTTTCATCCTCTGCAGAAACAGAATATGTGTTTAAAAAAAAAAAGGTCTCAAGATAATTGTCCCTTAGTATAAACATTTAACAATACAGTAGATAAGTTTCTCAAAATAATTAAAACATAAAACACAGGAATAAAGTAGCAAGCTGCCTTCCCAAATTAAAGCCTGAAGCAGTACTTAATGGGGTAAAGACAATCTTTTCTAATTTTGCCTTGGATTTTTAAAAAATGTCACACTCAAATACCACCAATCAGATACCATTCTAAGGACAACAAAATCCCTTCCCTATACAAAAACTTTCACTAGCTGCGCCAGTCTGCTCCTGCACAATCAAATTCACTCTGAATGAGGCAATTCAGATTTCTTAAGTCAAAACTTCTCACCAAATTCAGTGTCCCAAATTTAAAAAAAATCTTCCTTCCACTTTATAGCAATGATACATGTGATGGCTCTATTGAAGCAGTATATACAGAAAAATTAGAAAAGCAAAAGGGTCCATTCAACACATAGCAGCTTGCATCTAAATATATACATGTATGTATATGTTTTCACAGTTACTCTAAAACAATTTACATTTAATATGTTCAGAAATACTTCTATAGTCTATAAATAGTATTTTAAAAGCTCAACTGGTAAAATGCAGTACAAGAAATGTATCAAATTAAATAAATCTTCTAAACCTCTAAAAACAGACTTTACATCAGTAAAGCTTGAAGTTCATGTTAAGTGTATCCTGTCAGTCCCTACTACTAGGGAAGGCAGTCTTCTAAATAAAACATAAGGGCTGGGAGTTTAGCTCAGTGGCCCAGTGCCTGCGTGGCAAGCAGGGGGTCATGAGTGCAATTCCCAATATTATTTTTTTTTAAAAAAGCAGCTAATTAAATACAATATAAAAGAAACTCCAAAACTTTGGAAGGAATGGGCAGCTTCTGGACTTCTTGAGTGGGCATCACTCTTCGGATTGACATGCGACACAAATGCTGAAGGCTAGCAACTTGTCTTGGAGTGGCCCCAAAATACACACTTCCATCATGTGTCCCAGCAGCCAGAACACTGCCATCAGTAGAGAAGGCACAGCACAGACCATTGCTCAAAGGTGCAACTTGTACTGGATAATCCTCATCAATTCTCCAGAACCTCACCATTTTATCATCAGCAAGGCTTGCAATGTGTAGTCCATCGTGACTAAAAGATACAGAGCGTACCCATCGGTCATTTGCTCCTCCGGCAAATATTGCAGTAGGCGGGGGAAACAGGTGCCCAGATTCCATCAGAATGTCTCCATTATGTGGATCCCAGATATATACATGAGTATCATAAGATGCAGTAGCCAGTAATGCTCCATCAGGAGAAAAGTCACAAGCTACAACATCATGGTGATGCCCTTCTAGTTTGCGTATCATGGTATACGTATCCATATTCCAAAGGAAAACTGCTTTACTCGCTCCAACTGAACACAGCATTGAAGAGTCAGGAGAGAATGCACAGCTGAATACCAAATTCTGATGCCCTCTCAATATTTTCATCATGTTTCCATCATCTTTTAGGTCCCACACTCTGAGAGTTTTGTCTCTTGAAGCTGATACTAGGATCAAGCTCCCATCTGGAGCAAAAGTTAAATCTCTGACCACTTCAGTATGATCTACCAAATTAAGGAGGAGTTTTCCTGTGTATACATCCCATATTTTGATACGACCATTGTTTAATCCTGTGGTAAGGAGTAGCTGATCTTGTCCAAATCTGAATCGATGCCATTCTATATTTACACAACGACTTTGTTTTTCTGGAACTGAAGACCCAAAGGCAAGACTCCAGACTATATCTCCACAGTCTATAATATGTTCACAAGGTTTATTTTTTTGACCACCATCACTATTTTGTCTTGACAATCTTAAACTGTTTGAATTAGCAACATTTTTCGTACCATGCAAGAGAAAGTTCTTAAGGCACTGGGACCAAGGAACAAGCTTTACAGTTCGATGTCCTTGTGACCAAGCAAAGTATGAACTATCTGGTGCAAAAGCAACAGTCCAGTTTTCACGACCACATTTCTTGTCAAAAGGAGCTGCTGGAGCTAAAAGTTCACCAATAGTACATGATCTCACGATCTCTTTCTTGTTGACCCTCGGGGGAAAGCTGGCCACCTATGGGGTACAGTCTGATTCCAGAGACACGATGCAGACACAGCGACAGAAAGCTGTGTATTTCTTCTTACGAGTGTAATTATCATAATGTAAGATTTTTTTAAAGTAGAAAAAAGAAAACCTATTAATCAATTCTTTAGCTAATTCTGTTACAAGGGAACTGAAATTGAACACATCACTTGCTTGTGAATGTGTGTGTGTGTGTGTGTGTGTGTGTGTGTGTGTTTAATTAATTAGGACTGGACAGTAAAGGCAAACCTTAATTTCTGAGATCACAAATACATTTTTCCAAAACACTACCCACTGCTCATGTATTACATCTGGCTATTGATATCACTTTGCAAGAAAGAAAAAAAAGGAGAGAGAGAGAGACAAGAACAAAAATTTAAGATTTCTTGAAAGCATGCGATAATATTCAATCATACATCCAACCTTGAAAAACTCTTATCTGTTAATATAAGCAATAGATTTGATGATCAAGTAGATAATATATCAATCATTATTAATCAGCTATTCTTGTTTTGAAAATCTATAACATAGGTATTGTTGTATGTTACTGTTTCTGTGTTTGTTTTTGTTTTTCTTGCTTTTGTTTTTACTCTTCAAAATAAAACAATGACAAAAAACATTTATGATTTCCTTCACTTTGATTCAGTGTATCACAAACAACCACAATATTTGTGGAACCACAGAAGTATAAAATCCTCTTATAACTCAGCCATGCAAGTGTTCTGCTCTTTGGCTCTTTGGCTTGCACAGAAACTAGGATGAAACTATGAGATGGAGGATTGGTCTGTGCAGCAAATAATTAATCGGTTCCCATGTGTGTCCAATCACTTTAAGAGGATATATGCATTTACATCTTCCAGTAAAAGCTTTAGTCTCAGGCTACTCCCTCGTGTATTCTGTTTCCGTGTTTTCCAATGATTGGGATGAGTCATTCAGAGGAGAGAAAGAAAATGTTGCTGAACCTCTTTTAGAGCCAGATGTCCACATGACATAGTTCACAGCCTCTCCTAATAAGAAATGAATTCCCAATAAAGTACTGGCACAACTATCTAATAATTAAATACTTGATGAAATTAACTCTTTAGGGAAAGTGTAGGCTACTCATATTCTCTGTCCTACGAGCCTCAAAGCAGACATGCAGAAATGAAGCCATGACCTTTAATAACAGCTCCCCTAGTCTTCAGTTGGACTTACCTCTACGTTATTTTTCATGTTTCTTTATTATTAAGAGAGACATCTTGGAATTAGCTTTCTCAATTCTCTTCCCTTGCATCTAATTGGATGGAAGAATTTCCACCTGCTCACAACAAATGTGTCTGAGATGTTAACTGGGACTCTGCACATGGAGATGTTGTATATCTCTGGATAATGAAAAGTCTTCAAGAAAAAGCAATAAACAGGCACAGACTTAAAGATATAAAATGGAAAATTGAGAAAGAAGATTCCAAAGAGAAGATGTCTTAGTTACTTTGCTTATTACTGAGACAAAATGCCTGACACCCAAAGTTAAAGAACAAAAGGATTCTTTCACCTCACAGTTTATAGAGCTTTCAGATTGTAGTTGGCTGTCTCCAGGGCAAAGCAGATGGGTGAGGCCGAGGGAAAAGAGTTTATGGCAAGAGGAAGGTAGCAGAAGCAGCAAGCAAGAGGCAAGTGGCAAGCGCCCCTCTTTCTGCCCCTTACAGCCTTTCCAGGCTTCTCCCACAGCCAGCATGGGGCAGCCTTAAACCTGGCATTGCATCATGATTCGATCCCAGCAGCGCATGCTTGATCTCAGCAGCATGCACTCTAGACCCAGCCGCCTGTGAAAAGCTCTACCTCTCACCACATGACACTTTGGGGCCACAGCTAGATGTGCGCCATAGAGCAGGAGAAATTGCAAATTTGTTCTATAATTTTTATAACATTTTTCTCTCACCCCACCTTCATATTGAAATGGAATGCTCTAAGAGTGCTTGAAATTCCTATCTAAATTGAAGAAAGAAAACAGCAATTTTAAAGCATTTAAATAATTCTGACAAGCTAAATAAATATTTTGTTATTTTTGGCATCACATTTATCTCTTTAAATGCACATATTAACACACTAATTTGCTGATGGATTATAATTAACTGGTTCAATCAATAGTTTGCAATATATATTAATCACAGATAAATTTCTCAATAAATGCTTGAATTAAATATTTACTTACTTTGAAGCTGCAAGTTTTGTTCTTTCAATAGTAAAACATAGTATCATCTGATATTTAAATATTATTCATTAGAAAGTGTCACATACACATTAAACCTGAGAAATGGAAAAAGTGCTTTGCATGTACAAAAATCTACATGCCAAAGAATTAATGGGACAATTTTAATATATATTTTATATGACTAGGACCATATTCAATCTTTAAATTCACTACATTCAGTTGATATGGTATTATATTGAAGATTGAAACAAAAGCTGACAAAACTGCCGTGGTGTAAATATGTCTGCCATATTCATGTGTTAGAAATGCATCTCCTCGTGCAGTAGTTTTGGGAGGTTGAGCTTTCTGAGGGCTGATGCAGTCAGCAGAGATGACCACTGCGCTAGACTGGGCAACCAAAGGGGCTTCTCTCTCTCCTGCTCTTCTGTCATGTAAGGGCATCACCTTCTTCCTCTCTGGCAAAGCCAGCGATAAGCACTATCTTAGAACCAGAACTGAACCTCCTAGCTTCTTGATCCCGGACTTGTCAGATTTCAGAACTATGAAAAAGAAATAAACAAACATCTGGTATTCTATTGTAGCAGCAACAAAGAGGCTAAGACCTATCTGAAGTGCCAAAAATTATACAAATAGTTCACTATTCCCAGGCATCACCCTCTCTATTGGTGAAAAACTTAAAGCTTTGAAAAAAAAATTGCAACGAAGTCAAAGTTCTACTCTATAATCTTTGCTTTTATTCCTTACAAAAGAAAACAGAATTGTTCAAAGTATTGGGGAGCTGCTGCCACTGGCACTGAAAAAAAAAATCACAGGGAAAAAGGACTTAGTAACCAACAACAAAAGCTGATTAAACTGTAAACCACAAAGATATTTCACTAAAGCTGACTTTTTTTCAGAGACAGTTGGCGTGTTTGGGCTTAAATGTTATACTAAAAGCATTTTCTTGGCACCAAATGCACATCTGAACATTTAAGCCCAAATATGCTAACAGATGTTTCTAAAACAGGAGCATTACACAACCAGATTGCACGTGAGTTAGGAATAAATTTCACATCATTTAAAAAATAAACATTAAACTGGGTGTGGTGGCCCATCCACGTAATCCTGACACTCTGAGAAGCTGAGCCAGGTGCATTTCAAGTTCAAGCCCAGCCTGGGCAATTTAGCAATTTGTCTCAAGATGAAATACACAGAAAGAACATGGGATATAGCACAGTGTGATGACCCTGGATTTAGCCTTCAGAACAGAAAGAATTTAAAAACAAAAGACAAAGATAAGCTCTATTTTTACAATAGCTTTTGGTTTAAAGAAATTAGGAAGACAGGGCAGAAACAGTCCATGTACTCCACATACAGTTTCCTCAGTTATTGAACATCATTACATCAGTTAGTAATATACACCTTTCATCAGTAATGAAACATTATTATTAATATAAGTCTACACCTTATTGTTTTCTTTGGGGGGGGCAGAATTGGGGATTGAACTCGGGCCCTTTTGCATGCCAGGGAAGCATTTATTCTACTGAGCCATCTCCCCAGCCCTTATACCTTATTGTTTTCTTAATGTTATTTTTTTATTACAAGATTTCATCAAATATGTCATATTGTTTAGTCAGCCTACATGCTTACAATTTTATTGGCTGTGTCATGTCCTTTTCTTGATGATCATAACAGTAGGATCTAGAATGTTTTTCAACTGAAATTTGCCTAAAATTTTTTTTATTAATTTTATTGAGAAACAAATAGCAATGAGACAGTTTCAAAACCAATGAGTAGGACAGTTACAATAATTAATACATTGCATATTGTTGTCTTCTTAGTAGTTATTTATAGTACAAGATGCAGACATGACATCCTATCCAAACACTATTAGTACAGATCTTTCTTCTCATTGAATTAAGACAAAGTAGCTGTATACCTATCCTCACTATTTGCTATATACAGATATAGAATGGTCCTTCATTTGTATCCCCTTTTTTTGTTTAGTTTTGTCATATATGGGGTATTCCATTGCCATTTAAGTACTGTATTGTGTGAATTCAGCAAAATAATCCAATGTGGTTTACTAGTCCATAATAGTAGTGGGTTATCTATAGAACTAGCAATGTCAGAAGTTGTTGACTTGAGCCTTTTACAGCTCAGCATATTAATACGGCTTTAGTTTTTATACCTTGTTTTTATACTTTTCTGCTGGATGGTTAAGACCAAGATAAAGCAAGACATACATAACAAGAAATGTAATTTTTGTATGTGACAAGGTCAGTCAAATCCCCTCAGGATTTATCCTGAAACCCTGTACCACAATTTGTAGATCCTTTGTCAGTGTCAGCCATGTGGATGAGTCACGGCCATTGCAAATTGGTCAAACAATGCCTGAAATGTTTAATCTAATCCCATGATTAGAGTTGGATTGTTTTGGAGAGGAAGACTGTAGTGGTTAAGGTCTATTCCTGTCATATTTTATCAAGGATGCATTCCATAAACTTGAGTTATTACTGTTGATGTTGACTTTATTAATCTAACCAATGTAGTGTAGTCAAGTTTCTTACTTTGAAGTCTTCTTTTCTCTTCCTTTTCATATTATACTTTTTTGGAAAGAAGGGACCATGCACAGCCCACACTTAAAACATGTAAACTTCTGTTCTATGTGGGAGTAGAGTACTTAAATGAAC